ATGTGCAAGCGTTATGTTTGACATGATTAGGATTAATCGAAAACTTTTCACTAGCTTTGAGGGACAATTCTAAGGGCGTAGAGAGAGGAGGCAAAGCAAAAGCATTTATTGAATTACCCAAAATGGAAATTTGTCTTTAAAATGCCAAGCGGCCTGTTTTTCTCCATTAGGAAACAGTCGCTGATACATGTCCAGTATGGATTCATCGCAGCAGCAACATTCTAATTGCAGGCTGTGAAGAGTTCTAATTGAAATAAGATTAATGAAGAGCCAGGCCAGCCTCCCACAATATCACAATCTGCATGAACGCTTAGCTTCTGAGTCATTTTCCTCCCCAAAATAACTCAGATTAAACAGCAACTTCCAAACTAATGGCAACGTTTCCGTCCAGATTTCTTTTTATGTCTTGCATCATGTTCCAGGATACAGCACACGGAGCAGGACCATCTTCTGCCATCAGCTAATGTTGTTAAATGTCAGGCACTTAATAAAGTTAAAGGGCAAGAAAGTTTTAAAGAATTTATTCCTCGTAGCAAGCAGCCCTTGAGAAGGCTCAGGAAAACTCATTACTTTATCGACTGGATACGAAGGAGAAATTTTCTTACCAGGTTCTGAAAACACAACCCAATGCCCTTAGAAATTCCCACTCTCTTTGCAGGATGTCCCTATATGTATACGCATGCGTATTTGTGTTTGATTGTACATATGTATGTATTTAGGAATACGTATGAAATATAACAGTAAGCGTACTCTTGTATACACCAAATGTGGACTTTGCATAATAGCAAAGTGGGTTAAATTCATGTGTTTGGGAACTGGGGCACAATTCCTAAAAAGAGCTGTTGATAAGTTCCAGTTGCCCAAACAGGAGGTGCTCTCCATAGTGCCTGAGGTGGTGGGAGACAGCAGAGCCCGGCCCACTCTGCAAACTGGGATGAAGGGTCTATCACTGGTGATTTCTCCGGGTCCTTCAGGGAGGGAAAGCCCTCAATTTGCCTTCTCCATTTACCACTGGACTCTGAGATGAAAAGATGAGATTGATCTCCTTTTATTGCCTCAACGTCCTCCTTAAGTATGTCATGGGGGGGGGGGGGGGGGGGGGGGAGTGTTGGAAATTGAGGAGAAAACAACAATTTGAAAATGCCATCTCAGAACATGAAAAATCAAATTTGCTAAGAAAAGCTGGTAGGAAGTGTTGGCAATGCTGGGTCCTCTCCTCTTACTGAGTTTCCATTCTAAGACAGACATTAGAGCACTTGAGGACAGGTATGTCTAGTTAAATTTGATAACATTGTGGGGGCCCTCCTTGTTTTTAGTACCTACCATAGGACTGATATCTATTTGCTATCTTAAAATGAAAATTCCGCAAGGAAAGGACTTATTTTAATAAAGTATGTATAGTGAACACAACAGCAGTGACTGCCTACCCTTCGACTTTGGTAGCAAAGTTAAAAGAAAAAATACATACATACAAGGAGCTGTTTTAAAACCTCCAGAGCAAGGTGCCACAAGCCTGAGAAATTGTCTCCTCTGATCTCTCGGGTTTTAATGACTAGCTAGCAGCACTCAATTACAAACTGGTCATTAACAAGAAATCTAATTGCTATTAGCAGACAGGTAAACAACTCATGTTGGCATCACAAAGTGCAAAGAGGGCCATTTTATAGTATCAAGTGAGATGAAGGTTTCCTTAAGAAAACAAGAAATAATACAGCTGCATTTATACAAGGTATTGTCCGTCCTCTTCATCTACGTAAGAATATAAGAATAGCTATACACAATGCTGATGAACTATGATACCTTATGTTTTCTTAAGAACAGTGCGAGTAAAGCTGCTAAATAAGCCACAAATCCCATTCTGTACAAATTAAATTTCTATCATCATTTCGGGCTTCAAAAATTTAAGCCACTGTGAGAAATTTGTCTTTTGACCAAAGGTGATCAGGAGTTTACTGATGATTATGTCAAAGTATAAATATATATATTTCTTAAATTATATTTGTTAAATATGTATTTATATATTACATAACTTTATTAAACCAGAAAAAAAGGAAGTTTTCTTTTTTAAACATATGGAGAAAATGTGAGTTTAAGATAACACAGTTTCAAATTCTTACCTTCTTTAAAAAGATCCCCATTGGTTCCTTTCACTAGAAGGCCAAAGCTAGTCTTTACCTATGGGGAGTCATCCAAGGTGATTTTGCAATACTTTATAGTTTATCAGTTAGTGCTTAAAAACACACACCCCTACAAAATGATCAAACACTTTCCAGAATCGTTCCCTCTCTAGGTAGAAGAGTTACAGCTGTGAGTTTCACCTTGCAAAGAGAATTTTATCCTAAAAATCACTGGGAACTCTAGTAAAACAAAAAAGAGACTTACTATCGTAAGAACTTTCTTTCCCTACATATGAACACCATATCATTGATGACCAAGTGGCAGGATAGACATACTTGGAAGTTCACTAATAATTTAAGACTTCTATGGCATTCTTATGAATTGTGAATGTTCAAAATTGAGTTTTAGTGAAGAAAATGGCAAATATTAAATTCTGTTATCAACGTCATAATCAGGTTTGGAAAAACTAATTTTTACCTAGAATTATTTTTAAAAATATAGACTTCTGTGGGCCAGCCCAGTTGCCAAATGGTTAAGTTCACACACTCTGCTTCAGTGGCCCAGGGTTTCACCGGTTCGGATCCTGGGCACAGACCTAGCACTACTCATCAAGCCACGCTGAGGTGGCATCCCACATAGGAAAGCCAGAAGGATCTACAACTGGAATATATAACTATATACTGGGGGCTCTGGGGAAAGGAAGAAGGAAAAAATTAAGATTGACAACAGATGTTAGCTAAGGTGCCAATCTTTAAAAAAAAAAAAAAGTAGACTTCTGGGCCAGCCTCATGGCACAGTGGTTAAGTTCATGTGCACTGCTTTGGTGGCCTGGGGTTCATTGGTTTGGATCCCAGGTGTGGTCCTACACACTGCTCATCAAGCCATGCTGTGGCGGCATCCTACATACAAAAAATAGAGAAAGATTGCCAAAGATGTTAGCTCAGTGACAATCTTTCTCAAGCAAATAAGAGGAAGACTGGCAACATATGTTAGCTCAGGGCCAGTCTTTCTTACCAAAAAAAAAATTGGACTTCTCATTATTAAAGAGGCTCTGAAAGGAACCATAAAAGTCACATAGTGCCAAAGCCATGTCAAATGTGTTCCTAGTAACTGTGTCTTCAATACTGTATATCTTCAGCCCAGAGGGAGAGGAGTGGACCAGATGACATTCACCCTAAACCTCAGTTAGAAAAGTGCACAGCCCCCCCCACCACACACACGCACAATTTACCTCTTTCAGCATTTAATAGTCTGCATAGTTAAGAAAATATATAATAATCACGTTCTTTCTTGTCTCCAGTCTAAGTCCCTGCCACTTGGCAAATTCATTTTCTTTTGTTTTCCTCTTTGGAGACAGAGAACAGCTGGTTGTCATCTTCCAAATACTGTAACAATCCCTCATATACTCAAAGATAGTAATTAAGACACCCTCTCAGCCTTCTCTTTTGAGAAACTCAAATTCCTTTTTAACACAAATTATCAAAAAATTGCCACAGCCTTGGACATGAAAATTGTTATTGCATCGACTTTCTCTGTAAATCCCACTTGTTTCTGTGCATACTCTTTCTGCAGAAGCGAAAGCAGCAGCACACGGCCTTGATGAATCTGAGTTCCCACTGTCTGGCAACGTCCTTCTTACAACGTAACATCACTAGTCAACTCGGGTTCTCCATTAACCTCCCACGTATACTTTGCAGTTCTCAGCTAAACTTGTGTGACTCCCACCTCTCAGTCACCTTGCACTCTCTGCCTCCACCTCCCCACATTCTAAAATAGGAAAACGTCGCGAAGAGCAGGTTCTTTAGCAGCCATGACAAGAGCGCAGCTCCAAATATTACATTACAGAGGCGACTGAACCAGAAGTACCATTCTCAGCGGGGCAAGTTTCCTCCATTGGGTATTAGCATGGTAATAAGATTTTAAAACAAACAAAATTTTTCTTTTAGCCGTATCCATATACAAAAATAGCACTTGTTACACAGTGATATGAAAAAAACAGATTTACTGACTGATTTCAGGCAAATTATTTATCTCACATTTTCTTCATCTGTAAAATGGGAAGAACAACGACCACAGAGTTATGTTAAGGAATGAATGAAATAGTATGCTATGCACCACACTGCTGACAAAATTCCTTTCTCTGGCACTAGTGTGACATTTTCATCCTTTGGTGTAGTTTCCTTTATGCAAATACAGTAGATTAATGAATCAGTTCTCCTGGGTCACATATTTGTATTTAAAGATGGGCTTTCTGGAGTTTTACCCAAAAGAAAAAAGTGAGTCAAATGATAAGCATTCCAAGTAGCACATCAGACTTGTAGGACAATGTTTTGAGGCAGGAATACCCTAAATAAGGCAAACCAATTCAGAGATGTGTGATTTCATCTCATATGCAAGGCATAAACATGGTTATTTAAAGACAAATATCCTCAATCTCAATAATCCTGAGTTGCTTATATCAAGATTTTCTCGGAGATACCAAACCATATATTTCACTCTGTATTATTTCACTGGTAAAGAGGATAACCCTAATCTTAGAAAGATCTGACGTGCCAATTTATGCAGACTATAGATCTAGAATATTAAGGCACCAACCTTTTACTTCATTTTGCTTTGAAGAAAGTAAGACAATTACTCTTGAGGATAAAATATTTCAAGTGTGAAAAAGTTGGAAGTATTTTTATTTTTCTTATATGACCGCAATTTAACTGTTCATAAATCCTCTCTCTTGCTCGCTATACAACTTGAAAATAAGTTGAACATATAGAATAAGATCTACCCTCCAAAAGTATTTCAATAAATAATCATTTGAGAAGGGATTGATCATCTACTTACCTGGATTTAAGGAATGACTTTTAGAGTGTCATAATTTCAAGATTTACCTGTTTCTTAGAGTCCAGCGATAATGACTGATGGTCTGGCCAGTAATTAATTTCCCTTAAATCTAGGGATCGTAGAGAAGAGGTGGGAGGAAAAATGCTTCATGTAGGGAATAGTTATTTCTGTTAGAAAAAGAGAACAAAATTAATTTTCTAAGCAGCCAAGCTAAATGGCTCAATCAGCTGCCCGACAAACACTTCCTTACCTAGTATATCAGCCTCTCAAATGTCAACCAAAAGTCATCATTTACCTAGAAAGTTTCTCTTTTCTGTGTTTAGAATAAAGCTACCTGACTATTACTATAACCCGAAATGTATAGGTGTGGATGTGAGCATGTGTGTGTGTGTGATGTTTGTGAGGTGAGGGTGTGTGGAAGGATTATACATATTTAAAGCTACTTCTGCTCTTCTTAAATGGCAATCTTAACTTGCTACTTGGTGATTCATTTTATAAGGTGATTCATTCTCACCCACAGATACATTTCTATTTTTGAAAAGAAATACGCCAATATGTCAGTAGTGCTTAAACAAGCTGTGTTTTATTTACGAAATATTCTACCCCAATAGGGCCATTGTGGGCCATCAACTTAACAGCAAACTCCGGTAATAAATGAATACTAAGGGTACAAAAATCTTGATGTGAATGAGTGAACTAGGAGCACATCCCCTAAGTATTTCAGTAACATGCTACCATTCTCACCGGTAACTGTTACTCCATTCCAAAAATTTTTTAAAAAGGAGATAATTTGTTATTTGATGAAAGTTTAATCAATGTTCAATAGAACCCTGCATTTGCAAGGGTTGAAATTTTCCTCCAGAAAAATATGAGTCCCTTACATCCATGAACTCCTTGACCTCCCCAGAACTGTGTGCGGAGGAGACAGACAACCAGGAGCCCATACGACAGCTAGACAAGATTGGCAGTAGTACACCATTCCATCAACCATGAATCTGAATTCATTTACAGTCTGAATGTATAAATTCCACAAAATTTATTGAAATAGTAACCTACATTGTATATTCAATGATTATGAAATTCTTACATTCTTATCCCTCTTCCACATGTACACACACGTGTATATGTGTGTACATGATAATTATACCAGTAAAATGGTTCTGAATTTTTAATTTTCTTTGAATGTTTAGGATTTCAGAAGGTCATACTCTTGAACCAGCAAAAGCAGGTAAAGAACAGTAGCAGACTTGTTAAAGAACTTCTATACCTCTACCCCCAACACTCCTCTAGGTCACAATTGGACCATATATTTTGTCTGGTCATCTGTTTCATTAATATTGTTTGAAGGCTCTATTCTAATTTTCTATACAGTTCTCTCTGCCATTCAATCCCTCCTTCATCTGGTTTGTACAATTTATTGATTTTTAAATATTTCATATAATTTAGTTATGATTTCAAAGGTTACTGTAGCAGGAAAAGTTGTTTTCAGTACTTCCAACATTATCCTCTGTGACTTACTTTAAAAATTCATTGTTTTAATGTCCTCACTCAATCAATATGCCATTTCCTCTTAGTCTTCTACTCTCTCAGGTTTTGCTTTCCTCAGTAAGATTTTTTCTTCTCCTCCTATGACTCCTCAATTTCCACTTTCTATCCACCATGTTTCCTTGCTAAATATAGTCATTGGGCTATTAATAAAGCTTTGCTTTATATCTCAACTGAATCTTTCAGAATTACACATATATATTTCATTCATATTTTCATTCATTCCACAAACCATTAAAACATATCAGAGCTATACTGGCCAGTAGGGAGACAAGTCACAAGTTTACTTATAAAGGAAGTTCATGAGTAATTTCTATCGATGTACATCAGCCACAGTCTACACAGCACTACTCCCTGAAGAACAGAACAGCCTCCCCCCAACACCCATGAAAATAACATCCTTTCCAATACTCTTCTCCAGAGAAAAGGAAGGAGACGGAAGACAGAAGAGAATCAGTCACTGTATGTCAGGTTAGTAGTGGAGCAAAATGACAGTATCAGACACTCTAGTGAAGAGGAGAAATCATGAAGTCAATAATCAAGTGCTCATTGCTTGTTGGAGGAAAATGATTATCATGGGCCATGTCTCCAGCTGAAGGCTAAGAGACGTGTAAAATGTTGAGTTCCTTAAAGAGGTAGTATATATGCCCAAAAGCCAAGAGAACAAACCTTAACAGAAGTATACAGAATTAGTCAGCAATTTGCTCTGGAAATTGTTAATATAGAGGCAAAGATAAATAGGAATCTTCCTAAACAAGAAAAGGAGAAAGAGGAGAACAAAGAGGAAAGTTCAGTCAGAAAAAGGTAAAAGTGGGTAAATAAGAGAAATTTTAAAGGACATGTTCTCAATAAGGAGAAGAAAATTAAAAATTCAGAACCATTTTACCAGTATAATCCACATACATACATACACGTGTGTGTATATGTGGAAGGGGGATACGAATATAGGAATTTCATAATCATTGAGTACACAATGTGTGTTACTATTTCAATAAGTTTTGCGGAATTTATACATTCAGACTGTAAGTGAATTGAGATTCATGGCTTGATGGAGTGGTGAACTACTTCCAATATGTAACACTGAATTGCTTTTTAAATTCTTTTTTATATTCAGATAATTTTGCAAAAATACATGAACACACAGGTAAAAGAAGTAAATTAGTGCATATGAGCAAATCCATCATGCCCCTGTTATTATACTGTACAGGCAAAGACCTCACCGCGAAGCATGTGTTCCATTCAGCAGAGCCTCAAATCCACAATCCTGAATTTTTCTAAGCAACATTTCTCACAAAGAGCTTTGATTTCTGCAAGAGTTAAATCAACCAAAGTGCTAAACTTGGAAGGGAATGGTGTACAGTTACAAAAATAAAGGGATAATTAGGTATAATATTCCAGAATAGTTAGAACTGTTTACTTCTTGCAGGCAACGGTTTTTCCAAATAAAAGCACAGGGGGAATTAATTGTTGTAAAATAAATACACAATCAAGCAAATAACATTTTATAATTCTGAAACAAGCATAGAATAGAAACTGTTTCAAAGATGCCTAATCCAGGGAACTGGCAACTTGAGGGAGATTTGTGAACTAGCAAACAGTGATGATCTGGCAGTCAACTTCTCCAGTTCCCAGCCTTTGAATGCACGCTATAGAATGAGGGAAAAGTGCACAGGAAATTAAATATATGCAGTGTATGAAAAATTAAGCAGACGGAGGAATGAAGAAGGGGAGCGAGCGAACTAGTCTCCAGGGGAATAGGAAAGCAGGGGAACCGGCGAAGGGAGAGGAGAGGGAAACGAAAAATATCTGACTCTTCAGAAAATCTATTTACCTTCTTTGTTCAACATCTTCTATTGATCACCATCGGTGTTGGCAAGTAGCTGGAAGCTGCGATCCTGAATTGATATTTAATTAAAATCCAGTTCTATTTTAATAATACGGTAAACACATCACAATTCTGTATGTAAATGACATCAGCAGATGAAGGATAAAAGACGAGTCAAAGCTAAGTGCTAGGAAGTTTACAAAGAAGGCAAAGAGCGAATCATGCAGAGAAAAACAATAATTAAACTCTGCTTCCAATTTATGGTTATTGTGGCTTTTATTAAGATTCTGCTTTAGTCCAAACGTTATTTTCTTTCTGTCTTATTTGTCTTGCCAAGGAGGAAAATAAGCACAAACTGCATTTTACTTCTCTTATCCATAAAATAAGAGCCAAGTTCTACCCTCAGTAACTCATTCTCAACTCTCCACTGGCTGGATGATGTTCTTGATCATCACCTTTAACCTCCTCTGGGTAAAATTCTTTCCCCAAATTTTTACCCATGGTTACACTAAAAGAGCAGGTAATGGGAGTTATGTATATTTATCTAGGGAAAGATTTGGCACTTGAAATAGATTTCACTAGTCAACGCAGCCAACTTCTTTGAAAAACACTCAGGTTTCCAAGCATCCTAACAGATTCTACTTCACAGGTATGTTACATCTCCCTGGGAGCCATGGACATGCATGTATGTTCATACTCATGTATATAAGTTTGTATAAAACGAAAAAATGTTTATGAGATTTCTTTGTAATTTGGAAAGTGCTTTCCACTTCAAAATTTTTTAATTATAATGGATATTCAGTGTCATAAATCTTTGTGCTTCACCCAGCAAGTGGGCTAAATTATGGTTCCTTAGTGGGCTGGAATAGGTAAAGCTATAACAAAGCTTCAGGCTCCCTAAGTAGGGGAGTGCCTTAATTAATTGGGTTGCTATCACAAAAATACCATAGACCAGGTGGCTTAAATAACAATCATGTATTTCTTGCAGTTCTGGAGCCTGAGAAGCTGAAGATCAAGGTGCTGGCAGATTGAGGCAGATTCCACGTCTGCTAAGGGCCGACTTCTTAGAGGGATGTCTTTTCAGTGTGTCCTCACATGGTGGAAGGGGCGAGGGAGCCTTCTTGGGTCTCTTCTTATAAGGGCACTAATCCCACTCTTGAGGGCTCTGCCTCCCAAACAACCCACCTCCAAACACCATCACATTAGGCGTTAGGGTTCAACATATGAATTTTGGGAGACACATCCAGTCCATGACAGGAAGACTTACTAAGGACCACATTGTTTCTTCCTTTCCTAAGAATTGGACGAAGTTCTGATCTCATGAAATAGAATCACTGAAATTTCTACTTCATTTCATTTTCCATTGATCCATTGTGCCTCAGTTCCAGAGTGAGAAAATGGTCAGCAAAAGGAAGTATCAAATGGATAGCCTCCTATAGAATCAAGATTGAAAGGACAGATGGAAATGTCTCCCCATCAAGTTAGTGAAGGAGATGAAATGCAGGTTTCTTGAGTGAGCACAGCCAATCCATCTATCCCATGTGCACCTCCCCTGAGCCTCCCACCAGGAGGAGCAAAGACTCCATAGGAACCTCCACTGGGATTGCAGAGAGAGGAGGGAAAGCAGCCATCCCTCCCCTCCCCAGACTCCCACCCTTCCAGGAACACAGGGGCTAGTGCACTTGTGGGCACCATTATTCTATTCCAAAATAAACAAATCTTAGAAACCCAACACTGCTCCAGGTGATTCTCAGGGTGAAAGGAATCACCTGTATTATTTGCAGACATCTCAGAGAC